TAATTAATAAATAAAAAGAACCTAGAATTGATGTCTGAGTGACACGTGTGCATAAAAATAAATTCATTATTGAATTATAAAAAATAAAAGCATATCCAAATAGATGAAAAACATCAAATTGACATTTATTTAATTGAATATCATAAAATTCAAGATTTTTTTTTTTTTTTGGTACATGGAGGCTAAGAAAACAACAAAAACAAACAGAAAAGTAAAACAAAACAAAACAAAAAATCACCACACGAGTGCAACCAATAACATGAAAAGCGTGGTCCCAAATCTTGAAAACTTGATCACTTTTAGTTCCAATTTTTCCAAATGATTGAAAGAATCATAACAGCAAAACCATCATAATCATTTTTGAACAAGACCATTATAATCAGCTGGTCCATATGGTTCAAAAAGTTCTGCAAAAGCAGTTTTCTTCCTCAAGTGATTACATTTCATATCCTTACACAACTGATCATTATACCATATTCCACATGTAACAATGCATGAATCCCATTTCCTATCATATTGCTTTATAGTCTCTTCCCACACTTTCACATCCTTTTCCATCTCCTTAACACTAGGCAACTTAATATTTCCATCCAAAAACCGCGCTACCCATTGACATCTCATTTCATTCGAATAGATGTTCGATAATGCCTCAGCGTATCCCATGATCGCCAATTGTGGGATTCCAGGATGAAGTATTTGCCTGTAGAGAGGAACGGTTACATTTCTTGGACTTTTAATCAGACTTTGGAATGTTGCTGATTTGAATATGCTTTTGAGTTTTTGGTCGCCTTTGAAACCTGTCGCGAAAACAACTATGTCTGATTCGATAGCTTTGGCTTCTCCATCGATGATCAAACCTTCGTTGCAGAACGTGACACTTTGTGATTTCTTTATCAAGATGGATCCTTCTTTCACTTTGTCGAAATACAAATCAGGAAGTACTCCGAATGTACATTTGTACATGTCATGATGAAAGCTGTGCTTTGGTACTAGTCCGAATTTCTTCAGGGGTAGTTTTGATTTTAAATATATTTCTATGAGTTTGCCAAATCCCCATCTCTGAAAATTAAGATTAAGATTGCAGTATTAGTTATGATCGATAAAATATCTAACATATAACTTTTTATTCGAGTAGATCGATCTTACGAAAGGTGAGAGTAACGTGGCCACGAGGCTAAGAAGAAGGTTTTCTCCGGGCTTGTGAACCAAAAGCTCTGCGAAACGGTTGAAATAGAGGTATGCAAGACTAAAGCCCCAGATGTTGAAATCCTTGAGAAACCAATGTACAGTTCTCTGGATCATTGTACAAGGATAATTGACTCCTGTAAATATTAATAGACCGGAAATGAAATTAAGGGTTCTGGATAGCTGAAATAATTGCACACTCAGACACATCCCTGACATGATATGTATAAATTAAATATTATTACAAGTGTTCATAATCACAACGGTCACACAACTGTCTATGTCTGACATATTTTTCTCAAAAGTGTCAGAAACAAACAAACACGGACTCTGACACCTTTTTTTTTTTCTTCGATGTGTCAGTGTTATTACGTAAAATATTAGCATAACTTGAAATTTAAGTAATAATATAAAATTTTTGAACAGATATATTCTCACCATTTTTATCTGCAATTTCAGTAGCTACATCAAGAGCAGATTTTCCCGAGCCTACTACTGTAACTCTCTTGTTTTTGACCAATTCAGCAGCAACCTTGTTGTCCAAGGCAGCATAATCCATAGAATGCATAGCTTTACCCTTAAAAACTTCTGGGCCTTTTCCATGAGGAAACTCAGGAAAATTTGGCAAACCACTATATTTCCCAATGCAAAGAATAACAAACTCAGCTTTGTGCACCTGGTAACAGTTAATCCCAAGAAAGATAGATATATCAAAGTCATATAAAATAGTACAAATTTTTGTTTTAAATTGCAGTTGATGATGCAATTCCGTTCATTGCAGTTGCTGTGATGAGCATGCACCACTGTAGTGAGAATTTTGATAGATAAGTGTTTGAAATACACAGCTGAAAAACACTTAGAGTTAGGATTACTCATTGCAATCATAAGTAAGTTGAGTTTTGGATCGTAGAATGTTAAGTTTTGATAAAATATTTGAAAAAACTTGGCCAAGTTGTGTCAGACTTTCAATGAAAATATTTGAAAAAATAAAAAAAATTGTCTGATGCGGTTTCTAACATGGTTAGACTTGTGATTTTAGAGCGTCCGCAATTTAAAACCATGCTATAAAACTAGAATCAAAATATATATACCTGAGTTGAGAAACTCTTAGTATCTTGCACAGTAATATACCATGTTCCCTTAGAGCCAAAAGGAGTTCCATCACCATTCCACAACTCCCATGACTTAATATCTTCATTACTTTCTCCAACATAATCAATATCAATGACTTTAGAATTGAATCTTATACAAGGAACAATTCCAAAACGTTGAGCATAAGCATGAAAATAAGCTTGCACTTGTTGATTATTTGGATTATCTTCTTTCACAGAAGAATCCCAAGGAAAATCAACAAACTGAAAATCTTGTTTATGGTTTTGGATTTTTGTAGATTCAATGGTATGTCTCCATTGACCTCCAAGACCTTCATCAGCTTCAAACACAACTGGTTGAAATCCTGTCTCTAGAACATATTTGCAGGCAATTAGGCCACTGAGTCCAGCACCAATAATTGCAACCTTTTTTTCCATTGATAATGAAAACAATTACTGACAACAACTTTTGCTGTGAACAACACTGATCGAGGTAGACAGTGTTATGAAACAAATGCATATTGACCTATATTTATAATATGTTCAAATAACATGATTAGTGTTATTACGTTTGGAATAATCTATAAATTAAAGGGAAAATATACGTTTTTTAATTTTGTTGCTAAAGCTGAAAGGTATACATATTACTTTTATAAAATTCTTTAAAATTATGGAAAATATATTTCTTTCTATAGAATATCTGAAACATTAATAATATCGATAATTTGGTATTATTACTATTGGTGTGCAAAACTGTTTTCTTCTCCTATATTCATACGGTAAATTTGACATTTTCGGTAAATTAACTATTAATGTATTTAATTCATGTATGAACTGTATATATTAATTATCAAATGTACTAAAAATATCAAATAGAGATTAGAGAGTATGTTTTTCTCGATATAATATTTTTTAATTTTTTATTATTATTTTTAAAATACAAAAAATAAAATATATTATTAAAAAAAGAGAATCTTTTTTTACTATGATTTTTTTAGATAATACATTTTTAAAATAAAAATCGTTTTAAATAATTTTTCATGAAAATATTTTTAAAATTTTTATAAAAACTCAATTTTTTTCTATAATAAACAAACGTTATATTGTAAATATTAGATCTGTAAATAAAAGATTGACATCATAAAAAAGAAAATATAAAATAAATGATATATTTGTAAAATTAAAAATTTAAATAAAGAATAAAATTAGAGAAAAAAACAAAAGGACTGATTTCAACTGTCATACTAAAATTATTATTGTCTGATATTGTTTTTGATAAAATGCTATTATTTTGATATGATACAGATAATTTATTAAGCAAGTGGAAAATGAAAAAAAATATTAAAGGTATATGGTTAATATAAATAGATATTAATATATTTGCATTGGTAGTATAGTATCCAATCATATTACTCTATAATATTATTTTATATTCTATAATATTATTTTATATGATTAAAAATATTAGAGACACTAAAAAAAAATCATTAGCCATGCGTTTTTCAAGTCGAATTTCTCTTTTTAGTCACGTGAATTTTATGTCATTAAATTATGTGATTGAAGATAACTTTTTTTGTAGTGAGATGTATTGTTGAAAAAATATATCATTATAACAAATACAATTAAATATAAAAATTTAAAATTGATTCAATTAACAATATATAATTGGTATTATATTAAAAACATAATATGTTTGAATTCAATATTTTTTTTACAAATTTAATACTCTTCATCCAAAGAATGAAAATAATATTATTGACATTCATATTAAAACATTCAACATAGACACACAAAAAAGTAGAAATTTGTGGAAAATAATAATAAAGTTGTCTTTGTTTCAAGGCGACATAATAAATATATGAGTTATAAAAATAAATTTTAACATTTGTTCAAAATTAAAAAATTAATTTTATAATATAAAATATATTTTTTTAAAACAACTTACATGTTCTTATTTTTAAGCTCATAATGAAAATAAAATTTAAACATTTATCTCTATAATCCACTTTTACGAACAACTAAATCTTTGAACCGTGTATAAGATTAATTGAGATCATAGAAAAAATTATAATAAAAGAAATATGACACCATGTAAAAATATTAAATATTATGATATAATATTAAACAATCAAATTGAATAAATATACATAAAACTTTCATTAAAAATTATACATTATGAAAACTTCTCTAAAAACCACATTTACATTTGAAGTTACAAGAGTATTTTTGCCTTTTTTATTAGTGATTAAGATCTTTAAACTTTTTTTTGACGTAACTCTTGATATTATAACGTATAATTAATCATACGAAAACACAGGTGTTGGAAGATATATTTTAATATGTTTAAGCGATTGTCTTGACTTTTATTAATTGTTATTAAAAATGAAATCATTAACGAAAATTGTCTGCGCTGAAACTTAAATGAAATTCTTACATCAGATGGCGTAAGAGATAATCTTCGGATAAACACTTTGTCATTAATATTATTTTCTGAAATAAATTTTCCTTCAAGTACGTATTTTCCCATCCTTGTTATAATCAACCTAGTTCTATTACATAATCTCAATTTCTGACCTATATTTCTTAGTAACATAATTGGAACTCTCACTTTCTAATATGTGGGAAATTTGGAGGAAAAAGGGAAATCTAGAAGTTTGAAAAAGAATGCAATTTTTCAGAAAAGATACAACATGTGTCGACACATATAAGTCATGTGTTAACATATTATATAACATGCATCGACCTGATCAAAGTCATGTGTCGACACATAGAAACAAAATATACAGGGTTTAAAAATAGGTTACATATATTGACCTGTATATAGTATGTGTCGACACATATATGAGATTTTTCAGTATGTGTCAACCTGAAAGGTTGTGTGTGTCGACATATAAAAATAGAAGCAAAACATGAAAAACCTGATAGATACCGTCTAATATATAGAAATGCTAAGGTTATACTAGTTTTGACATCATACAAAACATCTAACAGGAAAGTGCATTCACTTACTCCCTCTTTTTGATAATGACAAAACTTGTGATGATGCATTTCATGTCTTCATGAAGGCCCCCTTAATATATGCATCCCAACTTTGTCTTCATGAAATGATGCTTTACTTTGTTTAAAAAGTTTAAGCAATGCCTAATAAATTGTAATTATGGATTGATTGAAAACTGCAATTTAGCTTTAAAGGTGTGTGGTTATACATTAAATTCGAAGGCGTATGTACATCTATTTCAAATCAAAATTTACCAAAATTAAATCTCTATATTTAATCATATTAAACATGCTCACCTGATTTTGGAAATTTAAAATAAAATCACACGTCCAACTAAGGGAAGAAAATGAAAGGTTCAAAATTGCCAATTTTTAAAGATGTGTGATATGTTGCACATAATTGCTAATTAGGATGTAAAGTATGTTGGAACATGAAATCACATAGTTGATAAAGAATGAAGGGTCTAAGGTATGTGGAGAAGTAGATAATGATGGAGAAGAGAGAATTATAGAGAGAGAGATAATTAAGGGTGAGAATAATTAATTTCATTAATTTGAGATGAGGATGCCTCCAAAATATTTATACAAGTGTTATAAAATGATTGAGACCTAAAATACATCATTAAAATACTAGAAAAAACTAAAAGTCAGGCTCGTAACTGGTTAACACAAATGGTTATCCGGTTACAAAAACACAACAAAAAAGACAATGTCAGGTGTAACTGGTTAACGCGTTTGGTTAACCGGTCAACACAACTTAAAACCAACTTTTTCAACTTGCAGAAGTTCTTTTCCATCAGCTCTAACCAGTTACACCCCTATGTTAACCGGTTACAACACTTAAATTGTTGATTTTTCTCATAACATACCACCTTAATTAAAGTGCTCCAAGTCTTCTATGCCCATGCTCATTTTTAACCTATTGAACACATTATTTTTGACTCCCTTAGTTAGAAAATCAGCAACTTGGTCTTGATTTCAACAATATCCCAATCTTAACTTTCCTTTCTAAGAAGCTTCCTCAAGTAGTGACACCACATCTCAATGTGCTTGCTCCTCCCATGTGTAATTGGGTTCTTATCAAGATTAATGGCTGAAACATTATTAACTAAGAGTGTGACAACATCACCCTCATTGCTGCCCAACTCTTTTAATAGATTCATTAGCCATACTATTTGACACGCACATAAAGAAGCAATAATATAATCGGCCTCACATGACGAGATCATAACTACCAGTTCCTTCTTTGAGCACCATGATATTGATGCTCCCCCGAACACAAAGATATATCTAGCTATAGACTTTCAATCATCTTTATCTTTGCCCCAATTGGAATCGGTAAAACCGTGCAAATTTCATTTTTTACTCGTATCTGCTGTGGGAAAGAGAATTCCGTAGACAACAGACCCTTTGATGTATCTTAGGACTCTCTTGACTACTTCCAAGTGACACACCTTCAGTCTCTCCATGAATCTACTTGCAATACCGACACTAAACGCAAAATATGGTTGCGTATTTCACAAGCAATTGTTAGAACATAGTTTGATTCTACAACCCTCAGTTAGAGTTTTGATGATAACAAAATACAAGATTAAATGAATTATGAGATTTATATATGACATAGATGATACCTAAAAATATGTTGTGTATTTACAGGAAACTCTGATGGAATCAGCATCAGAATATCAGAATATCAACATCAGCATCAGAAGATATATCACATCAGAAGATCAGTACATATGCTTACGTTGTAGTCTGATGAACAAGATATGCGCTCAACATACTCTGATTGTGATCAAGATCCTAAGTACGTCATCAGCACTCAGAAGCATTCAGAATAAGCTAAAGCCAACACACTCTGATCTTAATCAAGCAGAACATCCTGAAGTGTTAACGTTACTGCATTCAAGGCAGATTAATTACCAACGACTTTATTCCAAGACAAAGATCTTCTCAAAATGGAAAGAACGTAATGAGCATTGAAATGGAATTATTGGCATCAACGTATCTTTTCCAAAAAGTATTTAAACAAATCAGTGAGAAGTGAAATGGCTAATGCTCTACAATACTCTACACGCCTAAAGTCAATCATCTTCATCCTCACTCAAACAGTTTGCTAAAGCTCTCAAATTGCTTACTCTATAGTTCTAGCATTCTAGTTTCACATAAGCTTTATATTGTGTATTATCACAGTTGTGATATATCATTTTTCTAGAAAACATCAAACACACAGAATAGTTCATTTATCTGTAAGAAAGAATTTCCTTGAGAAACCGATCTGTGGTTTAGACTCAAGAAGGCTTTAGCAGTTGTTTTGTATTCAGTTGAATATAGTGGATTAAGACCTCGTTGGAGAGAGGCGAAATCACCTTGACGGGTGGACTGGAGTAGTTTGAGATCAAATGAACCAGGATAAAAATAACGTGTTGTCTGCATTTGATTTCAAGTTTCAACAATTCAACCCCCCTTCTTGTGTTTTTCACTTCTTCAATTGGCATCAGAGCGCCTGGTTCTGAGTTCATAACACTTAACCGTGTCAGTACAAGATCCAGCATTGAAAAACACTATGGCAGGAACACATCACAACATCAGCAATGACAACAACGAAGAAAGAGACAGATTCAGTGGCAAACCTCCAGTCTTTGATGGAGAGAACTTTGATTACTGGAAAGACAGAATTGAAAGCTTCTTTCTAGCCCACGATGCTGATTTGTGGGATATGGTGACAGATGGATACACGCACCCAGTAAATGCAAATGGTCAGAAGATTGACAGGAAAGCAATGTCTGATCAACAGAAGCGTGATTTCAAAAACCATCACAAGGCCAGAACTATTCTTCTCAGTGCTATCTCTTACTCTAAATATGAAAAAATATCAAACAGAGACACTGCTAAGAACATGTTTGATTCTCTCAGAATGACGCATGAAGGCAACCTTCAAGTTAAAGAAACTAAAGCTCTTGGGCTCATTCAAAAGTATGAGGCATTCAAGATGGAAGAAAATGAATCTATTGAAACAATGTTCTCAAGATTTCAGATTCTGGTTGTTGGTCTCAAAGTTTTGGACAAAGGATATTCTACTGCTGATCATGTCAAGAAGATCATTAGAAGCTTGCCAAAACAGTGGAGGCCAATGGTCACAGCGTTGAAGCTAGCTAAGGATCTCAATACAATCTCTCTGGAGGAACTTGTCAGCTCCCTCAGAAGTCACGAGATAGAGCTGGAAGTTGATGAACCTCAAAAGCAAGGTAAGCCTTTAGCTTTATTATCTAACAGAAAATATGACTCTAAGGTTTTGCAGGCTGTTGAAGAAACCTCTGATGGGTCCTAATCAGAAGAAGATGAATTGCCGCTCCTCTCCAGAAGGGTGAACCAACTGTGGAAGCAGAGGCAAAGAAAGTTCAGGAATCCCAGAAGACCTGAGAACCAGAACGAACCCTCCTCCAGATACAGAAGGTCAGAATCCTCCTCTGGACACAGAAGATCTGAAGGTTCTTCAGGAAGCAGAAAGCCAAACAACAAGGACATCATCTACTATGAATGCAACGAGCAAGGACACTACAAGAGTGACTGCCCAAAGCTTCAGAAGGAAAAGCCCAGAAGAAATTTTGGCAAGGAAAAGAAGAAAAGTCTCATGGCCACATGGGATGACTCTGACACATTTGAAGCTGACTCGGAATCTGATGATGAGAGAGCAAACATAGCTCTCATGGCAAACATATCAGAAGACAGTGAAGCTTCTGAATCAGACTCTGAATCAGACACAGAAGAGGTATTTCCTGACTTTGCTATTAATTTTACTAAGGCTGAACTAGCTGAAAGCCTTAATGAGATTCTGGAGAGATATCAGCAGATTAGAGTCAAGTTCAGAAACCTGAAAAGGGATCTTGCTTCTGACTCTGATAAAACTGAGAGTCTCAAGTTGGAAAATTCTGAGTTGAAAAATAATGTTTCAAAATTAGAAAATATATTACAAAACTCTCAGAAGGAAACAATTCTTGAAACTCCCAATAGTGCTGATGAGATCATCAAGGAGTATGATCACAGCTTTCAGAAGTTTCTTGCTAAAAGCATATATAGAAGCAAAATGGCTTCAATGATCTATGGAGTTAGCAGAAATGGCAGAAAGGGAATAGGATACCAAGGTAAGGTACCTACACCAAAGAATGCCATGGATTTAGTTATTAAACGAACTCCACTTAAATCACACTTTGTATATGGGCACACACACGACATCAAATATACTAGTAGCAATTATTCTGTCAAACCAAAATTCAACCAGAGTTTTGGTAAAACTAACAAATCAGGACCCAAGAAAATATGGGTACCTAAGGATAAAATAATACATGTTGCAGATATCTTTAGCAGCAAAGCAGAAACACCGGTCATGGTACCTGGACTCTGGCTGCTCACGACACATGACGGGAAGAAGGCATATGTTCCAAAGCCTGGAACTTAAGCCTGGAGGCCATGTAGGCTTTGGAGGCAATCAGAGGGGAAAGATCATTGGCTCTGGAATAGTAGGTAACGGAAATCTTCCCTCTATCAGTAATGTTTTATTAGTAGATGGATTAATGCATAATCTGTTATCTATAAGTCAATTAAGTGATAACGGTTATGATATAATCTTTAATCAAAATTCATGTAAAGCTGTTAGTCAGAAAGATGGGACTATCCTGTTTAATGGAAAGAGGAGAAACAACATTTACAAAATCAAACTTTCTGAACTGAAAAGTCAGAATGTAAAGTGTCTTATTTCTGTTAACAACGAGCAATGGATCTGGCATAGAAGATTGGGGCATGTTAGTATGAGAAGAATATCTCAGATTAACAAACTCAATCTGGTCAGAGGACTTCCTAACCTGAAGTTCAATTCAGATGCTCTGTGTGAAGCATGTCAGAAAGGCAAGTTTGCAAATCCTGCTTTTAAATCTAAAAACGTTGTTTCCACCTCTAAGCCATTAGAACTTCTGCACATTGACTTATTTGGACCAGTTAAAACTACTTCAGTCAGTGGCAAGAAGTATGGGTTAGTAATCGTAGATGACTAT